AACCTTTGAAAACGAAATAGTCTAGTTTATTTTGAAGTCCGGAAAATTCTCTATTTTTCTATATATAAACATTTCCGTTCTGAGCAGACGTGCGGAAGAAAGAATCATATTGGGCCATGTTCTTGCAGAAACCGTTTCCTGTCCTCTAGTCTATGTTCGTATGCTGAAAAATCAAGTTGAGTAACAAAGCTTGACTTACGAATTTTAACCCATGGCGCGAAAGTCTTGGCACAAAATGATCGTTCATTTTTCGACCACTTGTTAGTAACTATTGAGAATCAAAAGAATCAAAAGTCATAGGCGTTTCTCTGAGAGCTACTTTCCACGAAAAACTTCATTCTGTCAAAACATCGTTTTTTCAAAATCTGTCTTTTAGAATCAAGAAAATTCGGAACCTTTCTCTTTCGAGGGAAAAAGAAAAATAGACAGAGCAATTTTATAGAGCAAACTTTTTTCTACAAAAATGTCACATTAAAGGATGTTCCATGGTTCGTTAAGTAAGTCTTCATGAAAATATAAAGATAGTCGAAAAGTGTTCCGTACAGACTTCATTTCTGGCCCTTTCAAATATTTGCTCACAGGTGTTCAACATTAAGTCAGAAAAAAATCTAAACAAATATTCGGAAAGAGCACAAACTTTTGATTCTAACTGACTGTTTGACCCTCAACAGTTGCTAATAAGTGGTCGAAAAATGAACAATCATTTTGTGCCAAGACTTTTGCGCCACTATTGAAGAATTGAAAGTACCAGAAATACTAGACTCTCTGTTTAAGTTCACGTGTGAATAAAGAGGCCAGACTACCTTCACAGACGTGTATTGATCGTTTTCGAAATTTTAAACTCTTCGAATTTTTTCAATGTTTTCTTAAAAGAATTTTACTTTTTTTGATATGAAATTCGCATAGGACACAGTTGAGTACGCATGCAAGTAAAAACAAAACATTTTTCTTCCCGAGCGATCGCAGTTACCATTTTCACAGATCGAGACTGATTCGGGTCAAAATCTCACTAGAACGATATTTTCTTTGATTCGAAGAAATCTTTAGAGAACTTTTTCTACTGAAAAATCTCATGATTAGCCCAAATGTTTTCTTAAAATCTGCATTCAATCACAAATTTTTTCACGTGACACGGATGGAACGCTATTTAATCCAAATTTTAGGCATAATCCTTTGATCGAACCCAGTTCGATCCCTGAATGCTATAAAACGGATTTCAAAAGAAAACCGACTGTAATGAGCATTTTCAAGCCACAGTTCTAAGGTCCGTCAATTCATAATCACGTACAATCCAGGAGAAGAGTACGTACGAAGAGCCTACTGAAATTTGAACATTTAGCAACGAAGTGTGTAAGAACGTGCGTGCCTTTCTCAAACACTAAAGATCTCGCCTCCCCGGTAAAATCCAAGTTTTTAGTGATTTTTGGATTTGACACAAACTGAAAACTAGAACTCTGGGATAGTATATCATGCAGTATTACTACCAGAAAATTCTTCATTCTATAGAGAGACGTCAAAATGCTGTGTTTACGCCAGATGTAAATTCTCCATGCTATCATCTTTCTAGAAAGAAGGATTGAATATCGAGCGGTGTTAGTAATAATAAACAAATCGTTTAACGGGTGGTCCAGAATAAATCCGTCACTTAGTATTTTGCTTATATCTCAGTTGAATTTTATTCCCTAACCTTTATTATTTTCTTAAAAAATGCACCGTTAAATTCTCTACAAAAAATCATATTAAACATGTTTTAGATACCGTAAAAATAAAAGAATATAGGAAATATACTGCGTAGCTTCGATCTCGATTACTTTGCAACCCCCAAAACAACTTTTTCCATTTTATTTCACCATATTTTTCGCAACAAAAAACAAAATGGCTATTTGGTAGCCCTTAAAAAGCTCTATCAAGTGGCTATATTTAAACTCTTCGTGATCGTAATCGGTTGTGAGAGAATTTTTTTGTCTTTATCGATTTTTCCCGAAATCCACATTATCTAAGTGCAGTTTTGGTGCAGTCAGAAAAAGTTTTATAACTCACCCAAAATCAACAATTTTGAGGTCTGGTTTGCTTTAGCTTATAGTAAAATAAGTCTTCCGTTACATTCGTACAGAGAAAACCTTTTTTTCTGTTAGGGCGAAAAAGATAAAAGTTCCCTTTTTATGGGTTAAATTGCCAGAAAAACACATTAACCTTGAATGCCGTAAGGCATCTATAGATGACATGAAGGAAATTTTATATGTTGCATATGCTTTTTCGTTCTATCGTTTTAACGAAAAAAAAGTGCCAGAGGAACACATGTGACGAAAACAACAGAACGCAAAGAGAGATATTCAATCGTTTTTGTCCATATGCATGCCTTTGGACGCGGAAGAGGAAAAATAACGGCATTTAAGAGGTTAAAACCAAATCTCTGATAAACGAAAACAAAGACGATACTTGGGAACATCAGAGCTTATGTTCTGATTCCACTTTGAAGTGTGAAACTGTGTTCGAAATAAATTTGTGTTTCTTTGTCTTTAAGGTTACATAGTAATCGAGATTGAAGCGTCGCAGTATGTTTCCTGTATTCTTTTATCTTTACGGTATATAAAAAATGTTGGAGAATTTAACGGCGCTCTTTTAAGAAACTAAAAAAGCTTAGAGGATAAAATCCAGCTGAGATATGAGCAAAATACTAAGTAACCGATTTATTCTGGACCATCTATTAGAACGTTCTAGGATTCTACAATTCAGTATCTTCTTCAAAACGGACACCAAGGATGAAACTGATTCAAGATTCACGTGTACTATCAGACCACACAAGATATCCATGAGTCAATTTTGGTAGCTTGTATATGAGATGAGATATAAAATTTGTCATTCACTACTTACGGATTAGAAATGACTACGTTGTTTATTGTGATTTTAAGATATCGATTCACTTGAATAACTTTCTATTATACGTAATGACAATAACGAAAGATATGGGCAATTTTACACAATATAAATGATAAACATTCAAGTTGTTAAGAACTGTGTCGGACAAAACGCTTTATAATACGTAACGAACACGTTTGATAGTGATATCTTTTGGTTTACAGACAATATCTTAATCTTTAACCAACTCGCGTGCTTTTTTTCTATTCATGCGTTCGGCTTTTTGTCTTATGGCATGTTCTGTTTTTTTGTTTCTGTATGTTGAAAATGGCTTTATAGAACTAGCAAATATAAAGACAATTTATCTTTTTACACGTATGCATATCTTTCTGTTCTCTTTCTTTTCTATCGACGTGCTGAGATAAAATAATGTCCACACGTGAGATATTTTATGTGGAGAGAGATATCAAATTATTTGCTAGATTCCGGTTAGAAAATAAGAATAAATCATCCGAAAGCCCATTTAGTGAGTGTATTAACTAAAGATTAGGGTAGTGTTTTCACTATAAAGTATTACAATATTATTTATTTTTGTAACAAATGAGCTCTTATTTTTAGATTTACAATTATGATTATTACTTGTTTTATTTCTAACAAATAAAATATTGATTTTTATCCATCAAATGGGATAAACAAATAGCTCACGTTGAACTACTAATCTAACTTACTAGAATTTTTTCTGTTTTCTTTATTTTGACATAAATAAATACGTCACTGGTTGAAACCCAATATTACCCAATATTATTGTACGATATTATTGAGTGACAATAATATTGATCCCCATATACTGGGTGACCAATATTATTAGTCCCGATATGTTGGGTATAGAATAATATTGGGGCCCACTATTATTGGATGGCCAATAATATTGGATAATATCTTGATTATAATATCTTGAATGATTGGTACTGGTGCTTGCCTACATGAATTCCTGATCAAAAATTGAGATCGTAACGTACTATATAGATTTCTTGAGAGATATGTGGACCACATCTACCATCGTATTTGCGCAAGAATGAAATTGAAAGTTTGAAAAACCATTTGAATAGTTTTAATTCTACATTGAAATTTACACCTGAATATGAAACAAACGATGAACTGACATTTTCGGACGTATTATTACATATCAGCTAAGACAGGCGTTCTATTGAGACGAGTTGGTGTCAAAAAACAACTGCATCAAAGCCAGTGCTCGACTTACATCAGAACACTCAATTTCATATCACCGATAAAAACTTAAAGTTCATTTAGAGTTAAAGAAAAGTGCTTTTTCGTATTCAGCACACTTGATAACCTGGAAAATTTTTTGTTTTTAGCGATAGGTACCGCCAAAAAGTTAAGAAAAATATTCAAACAAATTGACGCAGCAAAATCCCCATGGTAAAATTATACAATTTTGAAAATTTTTTTTTAACTTTTTGGCGGTACCTCTCGCTAAAAACAGAAAATTTTCCAGGTTATCAAGTGTGCTGAATACGAAAAAGCACTTTTCTTTAACTCTAAATGAACTTTAAGTTTTTTTTATCGGTGATATGTTGAATTAAAAATACCGCGTGACCCAGTGTAAATGATATCTTCAGTATTTTGTAAGTAACTTAGTCACTTCAAACCTGTTCGATCTGCGGTTTTTTCAGTGAATTCGCCATTGAATTTACTACAAACCGGCCGATAAAGGACTTTTGTGCAATGAAAAAAGATGGAGTTACGAGCGAAATGCAGAAAGCGAAAAATTTGACAATTCTCAAGCACAGAATTCGTTTTTTTGCATTTTTCTGCGATCTCATACCGCGATATAAAACACTAAGTCCATCCTCTCGAAGAACGTTAAATTCTGAATCGATTACACATCCTGTAAAATTCTTATGCAAAAATCCGCCTGAAACAGAGACAATTATTTTTTTGAGCTTATCCAAAAAGTATAACTTTTGATCCTTGCTTTTGTCAGTTTCAACAAAACGTCAAGGGATTTGAAAACAAGTCAAGGGACTGGAAGGACCTGGTCCTAACGACGCGAACATGTACGGTGCGCGAAATTTAAAACTTGAGCAAAACTATTAAAACACCAAAATTTCAGTATATGGCTAATCATCTTTTGTCCATGTAACTAATTTACTAGCATCAAAATTAGGTACACATTGTGGAAATAATACACAGCTGTCATCAACAGCGGCTAAAGCACTGGTTGAACAATGAGATTCTAAAAACAAGGACATAATAACTTGCGTAAGGGGCAGCCGAGTTCATAGAACTCTATACTGATAAACTTTTCAAGATTAGCAGAAAGAATTCAAGAATTAGCATCAAGTTTTTTTCCAGTTTTTAGAATTTCACAAATTAAGAATTCCGCGAACATTAGCATCAAGTATTCAGAAATAAAAATCACGCTTTTTCTTAATTCAAGAATTCCCGAACTCATAAATTGAATGCATCTTTTTCCAATTCGAGAAAGATTCAACAATTCAGGAATTGACAGACACCTTTTAGTTTTTTCAATTGAAAAGTTTGAAATGTGACCTTTTATGAATTTCTTAAATTCGAAAAGGTCAAAAATTGTGCGAATTTGTATGGAATCAGTTTGAACTCACATATTCAGAATAGTCATAAATCGACGAATTGCGGGGATGAGAGTGGACTGTAGCGTATGATTCAACGTTGGGTAGCGGCTCACTCTCATCGACCTACTCCACCCCACACTGCACTGTGGTTACAAATAGACCTGTAACAGTTCCAGCTCATAAGTTCAGCTCATTTGAGCGAAAGAACTGCTGAACAGTTCTTTTGAAAGGAGCTGATATGTTCGAACAGCTCTTTTGAAAGGAGCTGATATGTTCGAACAGCTCTTTTGAAAGGAGCTGATATGTTGGAACAGCTCTTTGAAAGGAGCTGATATGTTTGAACAGCTCTTTTGAAATTTTAAAAATTGAAATTTTTTGAAATTTTTTCAACGACTACTGCTAAAGCTTTTACGCTGAAGCAAGAGCTTGCTCTTCTGTTCATTTTTTGGGAAGTGATTCCCAAAAAAGAACACTTTGCTCTTGGACTCCTGGACTTTGAGCACGCTCTTGCTTCAGCATGAAAGCTTCAGCAGTAGTCGTTGAAAAAATTTCAAAAAATTTCAATTTTTAAAATTTCAAAAGAGCTGTTCAAACATATCAGCTCCTTTCAAACGAGCTCTTCAAAAATATCAC